CATCATTCTCAGCAAACTATTGCAAGAACAGAAAACCAAACACCACATGTTCTCACTCATAGGTGGGAATTGAACAATGAGATCACTTGGACAAAGGAAGGGGAACATCACACACCGGGGCCTATTGTAAGGAGGGAGGAGGGGAGAGGGATAGCATTAGGAGATATACCTAATGTAAATGACGAATTAGTAGGTGCAGCACACCAACATGGCACATGTATACATACGTAGCAAACCTGCACGTTGTGTGCATATACCCTAGAACTTAAAAGTATAATAAAAAAATATAACGCATCCTCTCTTTGATAATGCTTTATATTGGACTATAATGCCTTGCCTTAAGTCATATTACATATCCAAAATTGATACTGAGAATAATATGTGAGACTTAAAAAAATTCTGAAATCAGTAATATCTATGTTATAAAAGTTGCAGGCCCTAATGTAAATAACAACTGTAAAAAACTACAAAAAACCAGGATGTATTTAGAGATTGAAATTTGAAAATATACATGCATATATACATACATACGTATTGGAGAATCGCATGCAAGTCTTGTTTCTTCACACAGGAACCTACACACAGACAGAAGCATGTGCGCGCACAGTCTCATTCTGTCATCCAGGCTAGAGTGGAGTAGTGTGATCATAGCTCATTGCAGCCTGAAACTCATGGGCTCAAGGCCTTCCTGCCTTAGCTTCCTGCATAGCTGGAAATACAGGAGCATGCCACCATGCCAGGCTTATTTTTAAATTTTTCGTAGAGATGAGGGCCTCACTATGTTGTCCAGGATGTTCTTAATCTCCTGGCGTCAAGCAGTTGTCCAGCCTAGGTCTCCCAAAGTGCTGGGATTACAGGCATGAGCCACTGGGCCTAGCCAAGACTGTTGATCTAACTCCTTTACTTGTGAGATAGAAATACAAAGTGTGATATTTTCGTAGAGAGTTTTAGTGAGCCACTTTATTCTATATCAACTAATTCTTTTACAACTTTGTGGCACACAAAAATAATACAGAACTGAGACATAATTATAGCCATAGTATGATTGCAAGTAAAGTTTATCAGTTTGCAAATCTGAATTGTGCAAAATAGTTAAGTAAGTTTCCATTGCAATTTAGGTAAAAGTATATAGACTTTAATTTTTGAATATTTTGCTATAAGTAGGAATATTTTTTAAGTTAATAACATGAAAAAGAGAACAAAATATTAAAAATCAATGCTTTTTATAAATATCAATTCTAAGGGTGAGATAAATATGTTAAATTTGCAAGAGCTTTTTGTACCTGTCAAATAATTATCATTGTGACTTTCCAAATTAAATTTGCTAATATGCACTGGTTGTAAAATTGAATGACCTCCTCATCCAACATTAGCTTGTATCTCTGTCTCTGAGTAATCGAATCTGTTATTTAATAGCTGAAATTATATTGAGAAGAATAGTCTGAGAATTATGCATTTCATGTGTCAGTTATGTTTTACCAAATGCATTTGAATATATTTTAGAATCCGCTTGCTCATTTTCTCTGTACACATTTGTATATGGTGGTCTGTAGACTTCAGAAGATATATTTTGAAAAAAAACAGTTGGATGGAGACATAGATGTTCTTTCTTGTATGTGATCTGAAGAAATGGAATTCTTTGTTTCAGAGGGAGAATTTATTTGAGGTAGTTAATTACTACATGAGACATTCTGTGTTAAGTAGGTTTTTTCATAAAAACTCCTTTGTGTGTAATATTTACTGTATTTCAATTAAATATATACTGCCGTAATATATAAAGATAAGTAAAGACATGGAGTATGGTGGTACGAGGAACAGTAGTTTCCAGTAGCTTAAAGATGACAAATGAGTTCAATTTAGAAATTCTCATATTTTTATGAAATTATTTTAATTTATATAAACTACAAAAGGAGAACCATGGAAATAGCACTATTATTTGTTCTTAAATTATGTTTAGCAATTGTACCTTAAGGATTCTTGATACATGATTTTAGAAGTTGAGAAGTACATTATTATTTTAAAGTTATTTCTAAAAGCCATTTATATGGTTATTTAAAAGAGGAAGAGCCTGCATAAGATGTATATAAAACTGCTAATTTTTAAGTGTGAGAGGATTCAGAGGAAACAGAAGTAATTTTTATGTAAGACAAGCATGTAATGCTTTATAATATTAATAGAAAAGACTTAAACCTTAATAGTTTTATTCTGATCACAAATATAATACATTCTCATTGTATTATTGTAAAAACAAGAAAGCACAAATTATTTCTTAAAATTGAAAAGCCAGGAATAATACTGGTAACACTTGCTACGTATACATGCATTCATTTCTCCTTCTACCTGTTTCCACCCAAAACAAATAGGTTTTTTTCTCTTTTCACTTTTGCTTAACTCGTAATTTTTAAACTTCATATCATTTAAAAAAAAAAACAGTTAGGGTAGAGTTAAAATATATTTTGAACAAAAAAAGTTTAACACAAATGTCAAAAAATGTTATAGATGCATTTTGGATAAATGAATGAAATTCTTAGTTTGTTACCAGGGAAAGCAACAAGGTAATTCAGTATCAAATGTATAGTTCCAATAGATAGAAAATTAATCTTTGACTATAGACTCCCGAGGGGTTTTCTTGAATCATTATTGATTGGATCTTCATTCCTACCTCAAGAGACAAATTGGTTGAATTAGGATTTAATTTTGTTTATAGTTTAAATAGATCACTCCTTTCCTAGTATACTTTCTTTTTTAAGACAAAAATTGGTATACCTGAAAAACATGCAAAAAGCAAAAGGATGAGATTTAAAATAATCCTTCATTGCCATATTATTTCTGTCATGCGTACCGTTATTTGTCAAAGAATCATCTTCAACTACCCAATATAAATTTAGTTACATAAATTGTGAAATTTATTTCAAGTCGATAATATTAGTTAGGTTGTATTTAAAAGGCACCTATCCAGTTTCTTATTATTTTATTTATTTATTTGTCTGCTTGTTTATTTATTTGAGACAGCGTCTCACTTTGTTGCCCAGGCTACAGTGTGGTGATGTGATCATGGCTCACTGCAGCCTTAACCTCCCAGACACAAGCGGTCTTTCCACCTAAAGCCTCGTATGTCTACAGGCCTGTGCTGCCTTGTCCAGCTAATTTTCTGTTATTTTTCATAGAAACAAGGGTTTGCCATGTTGCCTGGGCTGGTCTAAAACTCCTGGGCTCAAGCCATTTGCCTACCTCTTCCTTCCAAAGTGCTGGGATTACTGACATGAGCCACTGGGTCTGGCCTATCCAATTCTTTAAGTTTACATCTTGATAAGTATTATATGTGTAGAAGTCAGATCTCCCTCGTCCCCCAAAGATGATCCTGAATGACTCCAACATTGAGGAAATCAGGAGAGCATTTAGTTATAATGTGAATAATACAATAAAGATATACTGTGATTGCTAATACTGGAATGGAAATTTGTGTATCCAATGCTATTAAGGTACTATATATTAAACAATTCTTGTAGATATATTTTTTGAAAAAAATGCATTGGGCAAATAAAGAAGTGCATGTGGAAATATTTATGTTAGCAAAAATTATAATATTCTGTTTATTCTCTCTTTTGTACATAGCCTGAGAAAAATGACAGTGAGCCAGGCAGCCAGAGGATAAAACCCGTTTTCATTGAAGATGCTAATTTTGGACGACAAATATCTTATCAGCATGCAGCAGTCCATATTCCTACTGACATCTATGAGGGCTGTAAGTAAAAGAATGTTAACATCTGTTGGAATACCATGCTGTTGCCTGTCTTATGTTTCCCATGTTTGAGGGGAAAAAAGAGCAAATGTGACATTGTTTTGTTTGTCATATAAGAGTGTGTGGTAAACTCTGATTTATGTGAAAGAATCAATCTGATTTTCATGAACAGTTTATGTCAATATAGCCTCACTAAACGAATATTCATAGGACAGCCTGCATCCATGGAGTGGTCCTTCTAACTTAATGTTTAGTAATTAATTCTGCTTTCCCAGTTGCCATCCATAACTTACAAAGTATATAGATATATTTGTCAAAAGTCAAAACTGTGCAGCTATATTACACGGACATGCAAAAATATTCTTGCATAAATGGGTAAAGGGAGAAAATTGTATGTTTTAGATTCTTTCCAGTTCTTATGACTTCTTCTCATGTCTGTCAGTCTCTCTCTCTTTTTCCCTCCCCTTCTGTGTATGTTTCTCTGCCTTACCCTAGGATATAGGTAAAAAGTACCTTCCTCTCAATGTATCGTGGGCTTCCAGCCAAAAGAAGTGCTTGGGTAAAAGGAAGAGACCTTAAAAACTAGAAAAGTAGTGACTGGAAATCTTGGTTGGGAAGGCTTCCCTGTGAGAAAGGGATGGGGGAAAAAAAGTGTTTAGGAAAATAGTGGAGGAAGCTTGCGCAGGTGTTGTTTTTTAGAGACACGCTTTGCATTAATCAGAGCAAAGCCTGAGAATTCTAACTAGGAATTTTCCAAAGGACCACTCTATTGTGTCTGAGAATGAACTGTGACCAGAACCAGGGTATTTGTTCAGTCATATCCCTGGTCTTCCATATTATTTATTCTTTAACCCATCCCTCCACCCCATCCTGCACCTTGTTCCCTGTCTTCTCATATAGTAAAGGATAAGGGAAAAGAACTGCTTGAGATTGTAAAGAACATGTTTCTTATATTCCTCTTGGGATCCAGATTATCCAGATGGCCTGGGTTCTGGAACCAGACTACCTGTGGTCAAATGTAAATTTTAGCAGTATTATTTCCTCGGGCAAATCCTGCAACTTTCTGAGTAGGCGTTCTCTCATCTGTAAAATGGAGATAAGATTAGTATCCTGAAATGTCCTTTGAGGATAAAGCAAGTTTAATGTATTTAAGTTCTCATAATAGTGCCAGGCTCATAGTAAGTGCTCTATAAGTGTTTGTTGTTGTTATTATTTACAGTTAAAGTTTATTTAGACTCACAAGATTAAGTAAAGGACTCACATTGTGAATGACTTTTTTTTAATTCACTTTGAGATTATTGGTTTTTATAAACAATTTTTTAATGCATGTATGATTCTTTTTGTAGCAGATTTTGTCTTTGATCAAATTATTTTATTTCATTTCTCCTTTTAAGTGTTTTAAAAGTGCCACTGTTTTCATTCTATCAATTCTTTGATGACTTTAAACCTATAATTATGTATAATAGAAACAAAATGTTGTATGTGTGTATATATATGTAGTTTCTTACATGAGCCTTAAACATAATTTAACTTTTTACACTCCAACTCAGACTATTAATTCCAAGCCCTTTTTAGAATCATTTGGGATTTGGATTCATATATTAATAATTTTTCTTTGACCATTGTGTTATTTTTTCTATAGCTACTTTTGATATTTGTAATTGTTTTTGTCATTATTATAACTATTCAGACAATGCTAAGCTATATGGTTATGTTTCTCAATTTTTGAATAATACATCTTCCACTTTAGTTTCAGATCTATCACCTGTTGTTTGTTGGATATGTCAACAAAATAATAATCTCGTTCTGTATCTTTCTATTGAATTCCGACTGGAAGAAAAACTCGCTGGGTATGGAAGCTTTGAGTCAAAATATTTTTTGTCAGTACTCTGTACATTATGGCATTGCTTTTCAGCCTGCGTTACTGTGTTGAAGAAAACTGAAGCCAACTTGAATGTTGCTCATTTATTAGAAATCTTTTATGATTGGGTTTTGTATTGTTGATATCTGGGAGGCTTTTTTATTTCTAAATTTAATAATTTATAAATGTCGACAAGATATTTTAAGTCAGTGATTTTCTAATAGCTTTAATCTATGAACATTTTGTTTACAATATGTATTTACGTGGAAGATTGATGTGTAAAAGAGATTAAAGCAAAAACCACTGTGCCGGAAATAAATGTGGTATGGCCAGAACACTAGCTGCTTTCTCTTTACTTTCTGACTCCCTCACCCAGGCTGGAGTGCAGTGGTGCGATCTAAGCTCACTGCTACCTCTGCCTCCCGGGTTCAAGCAATTATCCTGAGTAGCTAGGATTACAGGCATGCGCCACCATGCCCAGCTAATTTTTTTGTTTGTTTTTTGCATTTAGTAGAGACAGGGTTTCACCATGTTGGCCAGGCTGATCTCAAACTCCTGACCTCATGATCCACCCGCCTTGGCCTTCCAAAGTGCTGGGATTAAAGACGTGAGCCCCCACGCCAGCCGTCTTTACTTTAATGTCCTATGTCTAGTATTGGTAGTCAAGACAGATTGTCTGGACAAGTTTATAGATTATTGTTTGATTAGTTGTGAGCCAGAATTGTACACAGGAGGCAGTAAGATACTTACTTTGCATTAAAATCTGCATTCTGTTACTCTTTTTCTTCCTTTCCTTAGTTGAAATCACTTTATAACTAAAGCATCCATCTATTATATGCTAGAACAAATATGAAATCTGACTCACAAATTTGAACAAATTTTTTTAAGAATTTAAAAAAATGTTTACATAGGTATACATATATCTTAGTATGGTACAGTTTTAAATTTGTATAAACAATGTTTTTCTTTCCAATTTAAAATAAACTATTTGTAAATAGCTACAGATAATTTTAATAGTCTCAGAGAATACAACTTATTTCAAGAATCAATAAAATAATATGTTTTCAGAAGTTATAGGCATTCTTTGGGATATGTCATAATTAAAAGTAAAAAGAAGCTCTGTCTTTGGATTATTTATTTAGTCCCATTCATCTTAATATTGGCATCTTCCTCTTTGCTGAAATCTCATCAGTAAGACTCTAACCTTTCCCGGCCTGTACTTCTTTAAAATTCATATCCAGTGTTATAAGCTGCATGAATAAATGACAGGAATAAAATCAGAAATGTCCACAAGATCTGGAAAATTTAATAATTACCGGCATTCTTCATGCGGTGTGTGGGAACATATCCGATTTAGAGGATTGTTCTAGGCTTCTGAGTTTAATGAATATGAAAGTGCACTTTAATTGAAGGCTTAACTGAAGGAAACAACCTTTTTCATTTTAAGACAGTTGTGTAGCTGTACTCTTATAAGAAACCTCGTGTTCTAATTTCACAAAGATGATTACTTTTTAAAGTCCCTTGAATTGAAATGTGATTATTTCCGCTCAGTGATATATTTAAAGTTTTAAATACTGTATTTAATTAGAGCCCCATCTCAAAATTTCCATTTTTGAGAATTTCACTGGTTGCTCCTTTTCTTTTAGAGGACACCCAAACCATACTTAATTTTCAGATCTAATTTATCCGCTTAGGAATATAGAAGACAAGCATATAACTTAGTAAAAACAAGGGCTGAATATTCTGACTTAATTTGTTTTTAATCACAGAACTTTATTAATTTTTGAATCACTTTAGACTCAATGGAGGGCTGTTTTCATAGAATATTCTATAATCATTTAAAATGGCAATTTGTATTGATATTTCTTTATATAATTATATTTCTGTAAGAATAACATTAATAAGGGAAAATAATAGGAAGGAACCCCAACTTCCATAAAGCTTTTAGGGACCAGATACTTTTGTCCTTATACTTACCCCATAATTTAAGTAAGGCAATTATTATTTACATTTTAGAAGTAAAAATACCTAACATTTTTATCATGAAGATATCTTCATTTTGATAAAAGAAGACAATTTTCATGAGTTATATTATCTTTTGATGTCTCATATGCTTTACTAAAAGTAAAAGTACTTCATTTTTGTAATTTAAGCTAAAAATCAATTATCCTTGTAACTTATCTTGATATTCAATTGTGGTATCTTAAAAGATATAGCTACTGTATCTTAGATGATGTCAGTGTCAAAATTGCAGAGGAAAAAGGTGCGTGCAGTCTTTGCCGACAATTGCATAATCTCCCGTAAATTTTAGTAACTAATCTGTTCCAACACAGATCCACCACTTACTAATAATTTACATTTAGCTGTTGTAAACAGCCCATTTTGTTGTTACTCCAAGTACAGTGAGGGTAGTATACCTTTAACAGAGTATCTTTTGACTATCTTTGTTGGAATAGAAATCTCCTCCTCGTGTGGTGGCTCATGCCTGTAATCCCAGCACTTTGGGAGACCAAAGTGGGCAGATCAATTGAGCCCAGGAATTAGGGACCGGGCTGGGCAACATAGTGAAACTCTGTTTCTCTAAACAAATTTTAAAAACAGCCTTGGGTGATGTCATGCGCCTATAGTCCCAGCTCCTTGGAAGGCAGAGGTTGGAGGTTCACTTGAGCCCAGGAGGCAGAAGTTTCAGTGAGCTATGATCATGCCACTGCACTCCAGTCTGAGTGACAGAGTGAGACCCTGTTTCAAAGGAATATATATATCAAGGAAAAGTTACTCATAACTGGGAAAATAGCTTTTTTAGACACGATATTATCATTTAATTACCTCAGAGGCAGTCAATCATCAAGTGAAATTTAATTAATTAAAACAAACTGGCTTCAAATATATATGTATGTTAAAATATATATCATAGAGATGAAAAATAGTAAATGTTCTCTTTATTTTGCCTTTAACACATTTCTTCATTTAGCAAATACTTATTAAGGACCTAGCATGTCATGTACTTTTCCAGATAATGGAAATATAGCACTGACTAAATGGTCAAAAATCTCTGTATTCATGGAGCCCGCATTCTATTGGAGGATAGTGGAGTGTAAAACAAACAATTAAAATAATAGTATATGTCATAGTGTAATGAATG